AAAAAGTGATTTTATATTTTACCTAAGTCTATGAATCTTGCTGTACACTAAACTTAAGTCATTTACTTTGTTTATCACTATCAAAGCTATCATGAAACTGAATCTAGGACACATTGATAAATTCGAAATAAACATTTAAAAAATTAGCCGTCACTGCTCATGTTCTCCAGACAACGCAAAATTTGGTCATTTCATGTTGTTGTTTCGCAGAGGATGGCAGAGAAATGTACCAAGAATTATAACGCACATGCACAGCCATTGTTCTGCTCATTAAACCTTTTGTTTAGTGACGTTGCTGTTGCCATCGTGGTTTTCTTGAATGTATTGGGACACAGGAAGAAGAGGAGTAAGAGCTGGATCAGCATGGAAAGTTGGAGAAAGATCAAGGAGAGGGGGAAACTAAAGAAGAAGATACATGGTGCAAGATCAGAAAGGCTGAAGAACAAAACCAAAAATGAGTACAGAGAAAACGACAAGGAGGTGAAGAGGAGTCTTAGGAAGGACAAGAGAGACTGGATAAACAGTGTTGCGTGTGAAGCTGAATACGATACATAGCAGGGTCAAATGAAAGGGGTATATGAAGCAACTAGGCAGTTAGGCAATGAGGGGCCAAGGAAGGTAGGAATAGTGAAGAGCATTGAAGGAAGGCTATTGACCAAAGAAGGCAAGGTCAAAGCCACATGGCAAAAGCACTTCATGGAGGTTCTAAACAGGCCAGATTCTGAGGTTGTTGCTGAGGTGGACAAGACAAATGTGGTGAATGGCAGCATTGACATAGGAGAGATAACAAGGGAGGAGATCAAGAGTGCACTGGGAGACATGGGAAGTGATAAGGCGCCAGGTATAGAAGGTATTACAGCAGACCTTCTATAGGCTGACACTGACACTACAGTAAATATCCTGCATGGGCTATTCAACACAATTTGGGAGGAAGAAACTGACCCTGGGGGACTGGTCCAGAGGGCTTATCATCAACCTGCCCAAGAAAGGGGATTTGACAAGTTATGGGAACTGGAGAGGTATTGCCCTCATGTCCATTGTAGCCAAGGCGTTGAGAAGAGGTCCAATTCAGATGATTGTTGCTAGGACAGATGCTGAGTTGAGAAGGGAACAAGCGGGCTCTAGAAAGGGAAGGAGCATAACAGAACAGATCTTTGTAGTCAGGAATATTGTTGAGCAGATAGTTGAATGGAACTCTAGCCTCTACCTATGCTATGCGGACTATGAGAAGGCCTTTGACAGCAAAAAGAGAGACATTCTCTGTGAGAATCATGAGATGCTATGGAATACCACTGAAGATTGTGAGAATGGTACAAGTCATGTACAGTTACTGCACAAGTGTGGTGGTGAATGGCAATGGAAGAACAGACTGGTTTGAGGTGAAGTCAGGTGTTATGATCAGGGTTCCTGTTTCTCTTGGTGGTTGACTGGGTTATAAGGAGGACAGTTGAACATGCAGGAACATGCATCAGGTGGAAGATAACAATTACATTAGAGGACTTAGACTTTCCAGATTACTTGGCATTCATCTCAAGTACATTCACACACATCCAGACAAAGATTGACTGCCTGAATAGAAACAGGAAGGAAATGGGCCTGAAAGTCAGCACCAAGAAAGCCAAACTCATGAGGATCAACGCAAAGAACAACAATGCAGTTGTAGTAGATGGACAGGAAATAGAGGACGTGGATGGCTTTGACTATCTAGGAGCAAGAGTGACCAAACATGGAGGGCTGAGGACGACATCAAAAGCCGCTTAGGAAAATCTACAGCAGCATTTAACAAACTAGTCAAGATCTGGAGAAGTGGTCAACTGAGCAAGATCAGGATCTTTAAGTCCAACGTAGCAGTGCTACTCTACGGATGTGAGGCTTCGAGAATGACCAAGAGGGATGAGGTGAAGCCGGACACATTCCTCCACAAGTACCTACAGAGGGTGTTGAAGACATATTAGATGATGAGGGTTACCAATGAAGAAGTGAGGTGAAGAGCTAGGACTTGCACCATCTGTGAGCAGATCAGGAGATGGAGGTGGTGCTGGATAGGGCATGTATTGCATAATATGGACCACCAACAAAACCCATGCATTGCCCTAGCCTGGGCACCCAAGGGTCAGAGGAGTAGGGGTCGGCCAAGGGAGACATGGAGGAGAACTGTAGAGGGAGAGAGGCAGAAGATGGGTTTTGCCACCTGGAATGAGGCTGTTGCTGCTATGAGGGACAGAGCAGATTGGGGGAGACAAGTCAATGGCCCTATTCTCCCAGAGGAGAGCCAGGACTAATGATGATGATGAATTCATATTTTATATAATGACGAGTAATCCCA